AAGCAACACACCTACCATTTGCTCATTGGTGTGAGTCGTGCGTGGAAGCAAAGAGTAAACAGGATCACGAAAAGAAGAACCCCGAAGCAGGAAAGGACTCAGTGGGAGTACCTTATCCTATCATTCAGCTGGATTTCATGTTCCTACAGGGAAAGGACACCCCAGCACTGGTTGGAATCTGTTCATGGACACGGATGTCAGCTGTGATCCCAGTATCTGGAAGGCAGACCGAGAGGAAAACAATGGAGAAAGTGCTGAAATGGGTACACAGTCTTGGACATTTGGATGAAGTAGGATTCGTCGGAGACTCAGAAGAAGCAATGTTGTCTCTGATAGCTGCAATCGTGGAAACTCGGAGAAAGATGAACAGGAAGACCCACGATCAGAACAACAAGCCGTATCAGAAAGGAAGAGCGGCCAGAGTGGAAAGGTTCATCCAGACAGTGAGGAACCAAACGGTATGCTTGGTACGAGCAGCAGAAAGAAAGCTTGGTATTGAGATTCCCGAAGGCCATGCAGTTTGGGCTTGGGGACTATGCCATGCATCATGGTTGCTGAACAGGTACCACCGACACGCCGCGATAGGATCAACGCCCTACGAAAGTGTTGTTGGTAGACCCTACCTTGGAAAGATTGCCCCATTCGGTGAGTATGTGTATGCGCTGAAGAAACCGGAGAAGAAAGGAACAGCGAACTGGATTGGAGGAATCTATCTAGGTAAGAACTCCCAGGATATGCATTTAGTAGGAGTTGAAGACGGAGTCTTGGCTACAGGATCGGTAAGACGACGTATCGCCACTGGATGGAGAAAGGAGCCAGTGTTGAAGCTGAGTGTAACTCCATGGAACCCCAAGAAACCAAAAGGAACATTCAGCAAGCAGTCGTTGCCAGCCCCAGCGCTGGCCAGTATAACGGAAGAAGGGACAGCGCAGGAAGCAGTAGTGAGAGCAGAGTATCGAGGACAATCCCAGGAAGAACAGGTAGAAGAACTGTTGGATATGTTGGACACAAGTGGAGCCTCAAGCCGAGGCAGGGCCTCAGATGGAGGCAGGGCCAGCACAGAATCGAGTTCTCATTCGAGGAGCTCAAGCTCAATGAACGACGCACCTCCAGGAGAAGTTGGAGGAGAAGCACTCGTAAGCGACGATACCATGTTGGAAACATTTAGAAAGCGACCTGCAGAAGGAGGACAAGGAGTTGAAGGATCACCCAAGAAATCTCGTGAAGAACCGTCTGCACCCTCGTCATAGGAATCTACCCGCCACTGTTCGCAGGCACGGTATCTCAGGAAGAGGACCCATTCCATTGGGATGAGCATGAGGATCTTACAGCTGTAGAAGGAGAAGATGTAGAGTATGAAGACCTCATGGAAGAAGAGATGGAAGAAGCACCCAAGAATGACCAAGGAGAAACACCACCAGAACTCAGCCCGGAAGAATTGGATGCCTTGGACCAGGAAGCAGCAGTGGAAGAATTGAGTCGCCTCAGTAAACTCGGAGTGATCGAGGAATTCATGGAGGCAAACGCCGCTGGAGACGAGAAGCGCATGGACTTGCGCGAGGTGTATGATTGGCGACGCAGAGATGGTAGATGGAAGCGAAGATGCAGGATTGTCGCGCGAGAATACCGTGCCGGAGCAAGCTCAACTGCGGAAACGTTTTCGCCTACGGCGTCGAGCGCCGCGTCGCGGTTAGTTCTTTTGTTGCACTTAGTATATCGATGGGTTGTTGTGGTGCTGGACATCAAAGATGCCTACCTGCAAGAACCTCAACAGGAGGAGGTGTTGATAACGATCAGCGCCGGGATGAAACGTGCAGCAAACCTGTCAGAAGGAGTCGTCTGGAGGCTGAAACGATGCCTACCAGGACAGAGGAATGCAGCAACAAGATGGTATGAACACTTGCGGATTTTTGGAAAAGCTTGGATTCGTATTCTCAGTACATGTACCCGCATTGGCAAGACACGCCACAAGGAAGCTGTGTATCTCTATCCATGTAGACGACGAGCTACTAGCCGGAGAAAGACAGGAAACCATTTGATTAGTGGAAGAACTGGAAAAGATTTTCAAGGTGGAAAAAGAAGGACCGTACCCAACAAACGGAATTGGAAATGGAGAAGAGATGCGGTATCTCAAAAGGAAGTATGTGTTCGTCCCGGAAGGAATTGTGGTACAACCGAACGAAAAGTATGTCCGGAAGCTCATTGAGTTGTATGACCTTGGAAGGTTGAAGAGTAAGGCCACGCCAGAGCATGTGGATCTAGTAAAGGAAGACCGGAGTAAGTGCTGAAGAGACAAAACGGTTTAGATCTGGACTTGGATCTATTTTGTACCTGGCACAGGCCTAGTTTGGGTAGCGAAGCGGACCAAACAGTTTGTTCCAAGGAGGCCCGGGGGGGAGGGGGGGAACAATGGGGGCTTGAGACCACCATCAGTTCTGTACGCTTCAGCCATCGTGCTTCGGTCCACGGCCTGCATGCAGTTGCTCTCAGTCATGTCAGTTATGTCAGTTATGTCAGTTGTTTGCAGTTTTCAGTGTTCTTTGCTCGCGATACTTTTCAGTTTTCCCTTTGGCGAAACATTCAGGTGAAGATGATTTTAAAGAAGTTTTATCTTTGAACACTCCTCCTCAAAGGAGGTGTTTTCCAAATCTTTGATTTATCATTCCAGTCGTCTATGATTTTATGTTATTTGAGTTGAGGGCGATTCGCCCCTTGTCAGTTCAATGATATATCTTACGCCGATACATTCTGGATCAACCGGAAGGGGACTCTTAGTCCTTTTAGTGTCTGGGGGGCGCCTTTTCAGGCTTCTTCGCGCAATGGAAGATAGGCTGTGGGGCCTTCTTGAAGAGAAGGGCTGCAGTGCTGTGGGTTTGCTTCGCATGCATTTTCAGACTCCTTGGCACCTGGCATGCGCAGTGGATAGTGTTGAAGACGCGGTGCGATTGGCAGAGCAGATCACTCCGGGTTCGATTCCTTCGGACCACAAACGGTTGGGATCTCAGATCTGGGAGTGGATGACTGCTCACACAGGTCTTTTCAAGCGGGTGCAAAGCAGGCTTACTGCGAAGGCCACACGAATTGAAGCGACCCCTGGAAGTTCGGTGTCTCCTTGTGATATCTTTGATCAGTGCGTGAGCAATAGTCTTGATCTTTGCAAGCAGACCAGTCGTGCACATGCTAGATGGATTTCGAATGGCGCCGGGACCCCGGCGGATGCAGAAAAATCTTCTAAGAAGTTTTGGGGAACTGTCCTGGTTCAGATCATGGTGGAGGCAAAGCTTCCTATCGTTGACATTCCGGTTGAGAATGAGGAGCAGCGTGTTTCTTATGCTCTCCGAGCTCTGGGGGCTCGGAGGTCCAAGACACTCAGGAATCGCGCGAGGACCTGGCGCAAGGCTCGTGACTGGATGCTTTCAGTGAAAGGTTACCCTTTCCCGAAGAGCCCTTCTGACGTTGTAGATTACCTCATCTTCTTGGAGCAGGAGGTGGGTACAAAGAGCTGCATTTCTGAGCTTATGAGCGCGTTGTCTGTCATTGAGGATGCTGGACAGGTTCCTTTGACAAATCAGCTGTGCAAGAACCGATTGGTCGTCGCGGCCTCAAAGAGCACCGGGGCTGAAGTGCAGGAGGGGAAAACCAGCAGGAAGCAGGCGGCTCCCTTTTCGGTGGCGATGTTATTATCTTTGGAAATTTTTGTGGTGACTGGTACGAACCCTCATTATGCTCGGTGCCTGATGTGGGCCTGCTTGGTTTGCGTATGGGCTTGCATGCGTGACGTGATTGGCTGGGCATTGGATTTGATTTGTGGAAAGGCCTGGGACAGCTTGATCGCACTTATTTGGTTTTCCAGTCTTCTGAAGATTTTGAAGAGCCATCTTACAAATTCGCCAAGCCGGAGGTTATTAGCAATTACATGCGTCTTATTTGGGGCCAACTTTTGGTCCCTTTCAGGAAGCTTGGTGAAGGTGTTTGGCGATCCAGGGCTGATGGTAAGCTACTGGGTGATGAGTGCTATCTTTTCTGGACAGGTCACAGTATGAGACATGTTTTGCCAACGATTGCAGCGGTGCTTGGTGTTCCAAAGGAGCAGAGGGATTATCTTGGCAGGTGGCATGTTGGTCTGCATCAGAGTGCGGATTACATACACACATGTCGCCAGATCGTGCATGATTTGCAGCGTCGGGTTTGTGACAAACTTTCGGGCGGCAAACCTGGCTACGATGAGGAGGAGTTGTTTGATGAGCTTAGGGCCTGGCTTCAGAGGAGAGGCTTGGACCCTGAACCTTGGATTAAGCTTCATTCCGTTATGCGCACCGTGGATGGATGCAAGGTTTTGAATCAGAGATGGCCACTGCTTCATGACATCACCGAGAGGTCGGACGACGCTGCCCCGGCCCCGTTGATTTCAAACTCTTCACAAGATTCTGGGGAGTCTCCTTTCTGGGTGAGCATCAGCAGGCACTCAGGGCACAGGCGACTGCACATACGGAATGGTTGCTGGGTCACTCCCGGTAGCTGTCACCGTTTCGCTGAGGTTTGGAAGGTTGACTCCTCAGTGGCCGACAGTTTCTGCAAATTATGCTATCGCGATAAGGAGAGCTCATCTTCGAGTTCGGGGGAATCTTCCTCCACGGATTTGGGTGAGCCATCAGAACCACTCGAGGTGGCTGACCCGTCTTTTCACACGTGATGCAACTCGTTGGAAGTGTGTGTGAACAAAGATGGGAGTGCGCTCTGCGTGCGACTTTCAGTGCACTTTCAGTCCATTTGTTGATGCTTTCAGCTCGGGCGTCACGCTGCGCAAATTCTGTGGGATGCCGGTGACTTGCTCAAGGATCCCTTTCAGTTATCAGGACATGAGTGTCACGTGGTGACAACTATCAGATCTGAGAAGCTTGCTTCGCTTTCAGTTTCCCTCCGGGGTTTCAGCCTTCAGCATCAGGACATCTGTCAGACTTTTAGGGAACTCGATCGTAGACAAACCGCGGTGGTCCGCCATGGCCGCGGACCCAGCTGCACAACGTGCATATCTTCAGGCTAATGTGGATGCAGACTTTGTGTTCCTTCTTGAGGAGCATGGGGTCGATCTGGCACTTCAGTTTGCTATCGGTCAACATTACAAGAGCATTCGCACTTTTGCTGCTTTCGCCGATGATCGTGGTGCAGCACGTACTGCGATTACAGCCGATTTCGCTATCAGGCCTGAGAGCGCTGCGGATCGAGCTAGGATGGCATGCATCATCACTGCTTGGGAAGCTTCCAAGATGATTCGAGAGGAGGAAGCCAAGCTTCGTGCTGAGGCTAAGGTTTTGGGTGTTCAGAAGCCACTCGCCTCTTCGGATCGCGCGGCCATGCGGGTCGCCCTGGAAGCTGTTCGAGGCTACACCGTGCCGGAGTCCGAGGAGCCGGCGCCTGAGTACTTGGCACACAAGCTTGAACAGATTGAGAATGGCGAGCCCACTGCCAGCTATCTTGATGAAGTTATCTCTCGAAAAGAGTCCAACTCGCTTCAACTTCAGACTTCCTTGGACAATCAGGGCCGGCTTCGGGTCATGCGACAGAAGCCAAAAGGTCGCCTTCCGCAGAATACGGAGGAGCTGCGGGCGAAGCTTCGTCTCGAGGCCTCCACTTGGGTCATGCTCTCAGCCAAGTGTCGCGGTCGTGCATATTTGCAGGGGCTGCAGCTGTCACACTTTGATCGTTTCCTTGAGTTCCTGTTGGGTGACAAGTGTTACAGCATGCAAGTGGCTTCCAATGCTCCCGCAAGCTCTTCTCATGCGGAGAAACAGGCACTGTCGGTGCCTTGGAATGTCCTGCTTCAGTACGAGTTTGAGCTTCGTAAGTGGGCTATCAAGGAGGCTCATCGCGATGGGACCCCGCTCGGTGACAAGTTGTATGAGGCCACCCGGAATACCGAGCTCAAGGAGCTCCACTTCACCTCTCAGGTCGCCTTGTCAAAACGTTCGGCCGCTCATGATCCTCCCCCTTCAAAGTGGCCCCGCAAGGGCAAGGACGGCAAAGGGGAAAAAGGCGGCAAGGACGGCAAGGGTGGCAAGGACGGCAAAGGGGGCAAGTCCACTGGCAAGATTCAGGTCGGGGAGTCCTGGTATGAGTTGGTGGCCAAGACTCCGGATGGTCGTGAGCTTTGTTATGCCTACAATATCAAGCGTGGATGTCAGGTCAAGGGATGCCAGCGCGTCCACGCGTGTCGCGTGAAGGGCTGCCAGGGCAACCATCCGGCATATCAACACGGCGCGCAAGGTGGCTCCTGACTTCGCCGTGGTCCGTTGAATTCAGTTGGCGAGTGTACTTCAGGGATACGTCCTACGCTTCGCGTGCTGTATCTGTTTTCAGGTCCGTCTCGCAAATCGGATGTTCGTGGCTCCCTGGAGGCGCTTTGCAAGGCACAGAGTATCACTTTGGTAATGTCAGAAATTGACATCTGCCGCGATCCCAAGCTAGACCTTTTGGATCCTGCCATCGCCGATCGATGTTTGCAGGAGGTTAAGAACTCTGAGTGGGATGTGGTCTTGGTGACCCCACCCTGTGGGACCTTTTCGCGGGCTCGGTGTGTACAGCCGGGTCCTCGGCCACTGCGATCACGTCTTTATCCTCGGGGCTTTCCTTGGCTATCCGATTCTCACCGAGCTCTTGTTGAACATGGCAACCAGCTTGTTTCTTTTGCCTTTGACATCTGCACAAATGCGCTTTCGAATTCAGTACCTTTCCTACTTGAGCATCCTGAAGATCTGGGGCTCACTTCCAACGGTCATGCTCCGGCTTCCATTTGGCAGCTACCGGAGGCCGTTGCTCTTTTCAAGCATGAGAATGTCATCACTTTCGCAGTATACCAATGCCAATATGGGGCGTTTTCGCCCAAGCCCACACGTTTTCTGTCTTCTATTCCGGTTACTTCTCGAATGCCCTTCACTGGGCCGCCTCGGTTTGACGCTTCAGATCGATACCTCGGCCCTTTGCCGAAATACTGTGGTCATCGGCATCAGCAAAAACTGCTCGGGCCTGCCGCTACTTCCGCGGCTGCAGCTTACCCGGACGATTTGTGCAGAACCATTGCTGAATGGTGTTTCTCCGTCTTCGATGGGGGGGGAACACTGGCTGCATTGGCTCCTACACTGGTGCTGGGACCGGGTTTTCAGTTTCCAGCGAGGGAGGTGGAGGCTGGCTCGGGCGCTTCCCCTGCGGAGCGACTTGCTGCAGAATGCTTGAGGAGCGGGACAATTTCGCACGGGCAACTTCTGCGCATCTCTGAATTGCTGCCGGATGAAGACAGAGTTCGACAGACTTCTAAGGTGATCGAAGGTCAGCGATCGTTCACTGCAGGAGCCTTTGTTCACTCTGACAAGGTTGGCATCAGGCGCAACACGAGGAGCTTTCCTTTGTCTTCAGAGCTTTTGGCCAATCTGCTCTCGTGTGGCTTCCCTGGCCGACCCTTCACTTCTTTAGCATTCTTTCGTGATCTTAAGCAACCGCCGCATCGGGACACCACGAACGGACCTTTTGACAATCTGCTTTTGGCCTGTTCAGGGTTTTCGGGGGGCGGTCTTTGGGTTCAGTCGGAGGGCGGCTCGGTCCGTCGTTTCATAAGTGGTTCATGGCTGTCGGGTCATATCCTGGACTGGGACGGCGGCAAGATTACCTTCGATCCACATGTCTGGCATTCCACGGAGGACTGGGAAGGTTGTCGCTTGGTCCTGGCCGGGTACACCATTGCGAACGATGGGCAGCTCGCTGAATCGGACCGGGATGCTTTACTTGACTTGGGATTCGACCTGCCAGGAAAGCGAAAGCGGGACCACTGCGAGACCACGACCGCAGGGGATGCTGGCGACGATGGGAAGGAGATTGAGGACCTACCTTATAGTGAGCTGAAATCTGGCTGTGAGGGACCGCCCTTGGTGGGCGAGTTTGCAGGGGCGACTGACGAGTTTGTGGACGGCTTCGGTAGATGCTCGCCGGGGCGTTGGAAACCTATCTGCCGGGGGCGCCACATGTCTCCTGCCGCCACTTCCTTTGCACAACAGCTTAAAGATCGTGTTCGAAAGTTTGTTCTTGAAAACGTGCCTGATCTGGCAAAAGCGACTTTTCGTCTGGCGACGGGGCATTGGAATGGTCCCTTGTTCGCTCCGGAGGCAATGGACAAACTTCGCGAGGACTGGTTCTGCATGCTGCCGGATCCTGCACGAGCAAGGGAGCTGATTCCTCATCAGCCATTCTACTTGAGGGCAATGGCACAGACCCTAAAAATCTTGGAGGATCCCGACTACCGCATCATCGAGGAGGGCAAGTTCTGCTTCGTGAATGGTGTGGAGGTCGGACACACTGCGCCATTGGGGCCGGTCCCTCAAGTCTTCAGAGCTCGTCGAAAGGATCAGAAATACGATGAGTCCGACTGGCAACCGCTGATGGATAATTATCGGGACGGCCCTGAGGTTGCAAAATCGCTTGAGGAAGCATTTGCAAAAGAAGAGGCAGAAGGCCGTATGTTCCCACTCTCTCTTTCAGAGGCCCGGGCCCGCTATCCGGGGGCGGCACTTCGTATTGCAGCGCAGGCGGTGATTCCGAAACCTGACCAAGATTTTCGTGTGGTCCATGATGGGACCCACGGGGTCCACGTTAACAATGAGATTGTTATGCTGGACCGTCTTGAATCGCCAGGGGCTAGGGAAGTGTCCGCGATCCAAAAGCTGGGCAGCGTGTCTGATGAGAAAGTCCTCTTCGGTCTCGTGGGGGACGTGAAAAAGGCGCACAGGCGCTACTTGCACCATCCCGACCATTGGGGGGTGCTCTCCTGCAGAACGAGGAGCGATTCCTCTGTGGTCTGGGTCAATCGCACTGGGACTTTCGGAATTGCTTCAGCGGCTTATTGGTTTGCGCGGATCATCGGTCTCGTGGGCAGGCTTTCCCTCAGAGTTCTCCTTCAGTCATTCCTCTTCATGCTCATTTATGCCGATGATCTACACGTGCTCAGCGGGGGACCCGATCGCTGGCTCAATCTCTGGATGTCCCTTGCGCTACTATGCCTTCAGGGGACCCCCTTCTCAGAACGAAAGTGGCGTGGGGGACTGCAACTTGATTGGGTCGGTTATTGGATTGATTATGGACGCTTCAAGCTGGGAATATCTGAAAGGAGGTGCCATTGGATCATCAGTGGCATCGAATCCATGGAGGGAAACGGCTGGCTTGTGGATGTCCGACGATTTCATGAGCTTCACGGGAGACTCGGTTTCATGTCCCAGTCTTAGTTTGGATTAGGCCCTTCTTGGCTCCTGGTTACGCTTGGCTGGCTGCTGTGAGGAAGGGGGCTGTGCTCGCGCTTCCCAATCTTATCCGTTGTGTCTTGAGGTTTATCGTTGACCGCTTGAGGCACGGTGCTCGTACTTACGAATCGGGCCGTCTTGAGAAGGACTGTGGGGAGCTCTTCCGCACGGATGCCGCTTGCAATGATTCTTCGGTTGTCTTGGGCGGATGGTTTTTGCACAAAGGGCCGGAGCCAAAGAAGGCCCCATGGTTTCAGATCACTTTGAGCAGGGACGACGCTCCTTGGTTGTTCAAGAAGGATTCGGGCAGTTCGTGGGCGAGCACTTCGGCTGAGGTTCTTGCTTCGCTTGCGGCGCTACACTTGTTGAGACGTGACTTCAAGGATCTCTGGTCAGTTCCTGGACACTTCCGTGCTTGCTTCTGTGGCGGGACTGATAATAAATCTGCCGAGGCGCTGTCTTGCAAGCTGCTCACGACTCGAGTGCCTCTCATGTTTGTGGTGATGGAGTTCGTCACCTTTTGTGACGCTCTGGGTTTCAGATGCAACCTCAGCTGGAGACCCAGGGACTCCAATCAGGAGGCGGACCGCATCACCAAACATGTTTTCGAGGACTTCGATGAAAACTTGAGACTGCCTTTCAGCTGGTCAGATATGACCTTATCAGTTCTGCCGTCTCTCTTGAGATTCGCGAGCTTTCAGTCTGAACTTGATTCCATCAAGGCCTCGATTGCGGATGATGGAACAACCTCAGCTCCTCGAATAAGGTTCGAGAAAAGTCAGTGGGGATGAGGGAAAGGAGATGCCCTCGTCTGCGAAAGGGGGCAAATCCCTCTCGTCATCTCCTTTATGCAGGAGGTGTCTTTTGCACTGTGTGATGTCGGGCTGTGCGGACCAAAACGAAGTCTTCTTGTGCGCACTGCTGTCGTTCCCTGTTCCTTAAACCCTTTCCTTAAACCCTCCGGGTTTTAAGAAAGTTTTTGAGCCTCCTGGGTACAAGCCTAGTTTGGGTAGCGAAGCGGACCAAACAGTTTGTTCCAAGGAGGCCCGGGGGGGAGGGGGGGAACAATGGGGGCTTGAGACCACCATCAGTTCTGTACGCTTCAGCCATCGTGCTTCGGTCCACGGCCTGCATGCAGTTGCTCTCAGTCATGTCAGTTATGTCAGTCATGTCAGTTGTTTGCAGTTTTCAGTGTTCTTTGCTCGCGATACTTTTCAGTTTTCCCTTTGGCGAAACATTCAGGTGAAGATGATTTTAAAGAAGTTTTATCTTTGAACACTCCTCCTCAAAGGAGGTGTTTTCCAAATCTTTGATTTATCATTCCAGTCGTCTATGATTTTATGTTATTTGAGTTGAGGGCGATTCGCCCCTTGTCAGTTCAATGATATATCTTACGCCGATACATTCTGGATCAACCGGAAGGGGACTCTTAGTCCTTTTAGTGTCCCACCCGGCCCACCCTGTATATTATTTCTCATATGGTCTGTTCATAACAGCCCAATCTGGATGGGGGGCAAATCCCTCTCGTCATCTCCTTTATGCAGGAGGTGTCTTTTGCACTGTGTGATGTCGGGCTGTGCGGACCAAAACGAAGTCTTCTTGTGCGCACTGCTGTCGTTCCCTGTTCCTTAAACCCTTTCCTTAAACCCTCCGGGTTTTAAGAAAGTTTTTGAGCCTCCTGGGTACAAGACAGAATTGACATTCAGTATGCCTCAAAGTGTTTGGCATCAAGCATGTCGAAGCCGACAGTGCAGGCACTAAAGTGTCTGAAGCACTTGATTCTGTATTTGAGCGGAACAGCCACAAGGGCTACCCTGTTACCGTATACCGAAATCGGAAGCCGGTTGATCACGAAGTTGAATGGCCAAGAGGATGACGAAATAGTCAAGGACTCAGGACACGTTGTGGAAGCGTATTCGGACAGTGATTGGGCAACTCTGAAGACACTTGAAAAGGCCAGAAGGAAGAGTACCTCATCAGGAATCATCGTACTGAACGGAGTACAAGTGTTATCGTTTTCAAGGACCCAGAAGGCCACACCATCATCAAGCTGTGAAGCAGAGTTGTACGCACTGAGTGGAACCTGTGGAGAAGCTATCCTAGTCGGAAGGCTATTTGAGTTCCTAGTAAACACTCCTGTACGAGTGGAGATACGGTGCGATTCCTCATCTGCACGGCAGTGGAGTCAACGGGAGGAGTTGGACGTCTGAAGCATGTGGACGTTAGGCTGTGTCAACTGCAAGATTGGGTACGAGACAATCTTGTGAAGCTTGGAACAGTAAAGACTGCTCTAAATGTAGCGGACTTGAACACCAAGAAGTTGTCGTATGCCAGAAGGTCATTTCTACTCTATCACTTGTCCCAAGTAGAGTATGCCGAAGATGGAAGCATCGAGTATACTGGAGAAATGGAGTATGAAAAGTACGAACAGGAAAAGAAACTGAAAGAGTATGTCGGAAGTGGTCAGATCAAGAACTTGATCAGAGCAATGCAGATTTTCCATTTGATGAAACCGACTACTGCAGTTTGGCTCAAAGAAGAAGTAGAGGACGCCAGTGTATCCCTGGGAAAAAGGACGGAAAGCATGGAAGGAAACTTCAGTAAGTTTGAAGTCGGGATGATCGTATGCATTCTGTTGTTGTCGGCCCCGTACGTCATCATGCTGTGGAAGAAGTTGACGCGGATGTTGGAGTTGGCGCATGAACTCGGAAAGGTAAAGATTTCAACTGCATCGAAAGCGAGAGTATTCCACAAGCCGACCTGTTACCATGTGCAGGGAGAAGCACGAGCAGGCCGTTGGGAATGGAAGTATGAGGAACAGGCATTGGCGGAAGGATTTCGGTACTGCTGGATATGCTATCCAGAATCCCGTCCTGGAGGACGTCAACGTAAAGGACGTGGAGGACGCATGGAACCTCAAGTACAAGACGAGAGCGATGACTGTTGGGAAGTCATGGAGTATACTGTGGATTCAACCGGAGGATGTCCGAAGAAATGCTATTAGTGCGGAGAAAGGACATGTACTCGCGAAAAGCAGGATCATACTTGGTGCGCCTGTACACCTTGTATATCGGAGTACGCGACGAAGAAGTGGAGGTTGGACTACGACCAAACAAGAGAACCCAGAGCAAAGGAAGAATCGGACGAAGCGCGTGGATCTGGAGAAGCAGATCATGGATGGAATGCCGGAGTGCATTGCCGGAGCACAGGCAAAGGAGCGCTTAGAAAGCGTGGAAGAGCAGCGATGGGAACGCCGGATATCGTACACACTGATGGAACAAGGGTGCCCATCATCAGTGAGGAAGAAAGACTTTCAGCGTGGAGGAAAAGTCACCTCTGGAAGGACCCAGGAAGAAGACCCGGAAGTGATGGAATTCCGTGGAAAGATGATGACCATGGAAGAGATTGGAGAAACGGTCATGGAAGGCGAATGCCAAGCAGCGTATGAAGACTACTGTGAAAGACAGGGTCAAGGAAAAGGACCGGACGATGAGCCGGAACCTGGTACCCCAGACAGTACGGAAATGCGTACTATGGGACCCCTCGCTTGAAGAGGACGGTCACCTGGATATCCGTAAGACCTACATCGAGTCCAAGGATGAGGACCAGCAGTGAGTGTAAGCGCAGGCCGGAGACAGAAAGAAAAGTTTCATTCACCCTCGAACGCAACAGCGGAAGCTCAAAAGAAGGAAGAGCGCTGGCGTAAGTTGTTTCACTAGGACGAAGTACTTGTTACTGTACGAACGTCAGGATATGGACGGTCTGACAAACCCCATAATCGGGGGAAGGTAAAAAGGTGGGTTGCATGGATTTTAACCCGGGAGTTGTGAAGGCAAAGCCTATGCAGCCAGGGCAGGAGGTTTGCCCGACCGCGGACCGTTGCATCAGTACAGCACAAGGCCTTCGAGGCAGGGTGTTACGATTTGTACATAGAACGCCCACACCTTTGGTGAGCCTAGGCTACGGCATATAGAATGTATAGAATGACTATGCAGCGCCTTTGGCTTAAGCAGGAAAAGCGTGAACGCTCAGGGTTTTTCAGTTTAACTTTCTTTCTCAATCCTTTTGCATCGCCACGCCCGTGCATCACCACCCTGGCGGGTCGGTTACTTGTGATCGGCTCAGGGGGTAGGCAGTGAATCCGCATTGCATTCAGTTTGAAAGGACTCGCAAAGCGAGTTCCTGCCAACACACAGTAGCTCAGTTGTTACAGTTGTACGCCTCCTCTGCTGCGCTTCAATGCGCGGGGGGTGTTTTTACTCTGTTCATACGTATGTACTCATCGCTACTGTATGGCTCAAGTATGAAAAAGAGTTCGTGCCTTTTGCTGCTAACAAGAAAGTCGGAATTCTGACAAACACGAGAAACGCGGACAGTCATTCATGAGCTGGCAAGAAGATGCAAGAAGATGCCAGGGCGTGACATGTTCGTCTGAAGTTTGGAATTGACACGGCAAGCAATCGGGTTCAACAGTCCGGACCGCAGCATGTAGGTTCGTGGAATTCAAGCTAGTTCCAACACATTCCGAGACCAGCTCAGCTCAGCATTTTCTTCGGACTTGGGAGATGCAGCGAACTCCAGAGAGCTCCGCGTCTCGCTTTCCCCAGCGGCGTGCCGTGAGCGCGCGGCAGTGAAGTCTCAAGGCTCGGATCCCTGAACCGGCAGTGAAGCCTTAGAAACTCAAGAAAAGGCCCTAGGCATCAGGCCCCAGCAACTCCAGCCTTAGAAGAATTGTGCTTCCTGAGAGCTCAGCCATGGACCATTCCGAGACCGCGGCGGCGGCGCAGGTGGCGCAGGCGACGGCTGCTACCCCCGCCCAGACGAGTGGGAGCGCCTCGCTCCCTGAGCTGCAGACCGGGTCTGGGCCCCGGCCGCGGCGGCCGTGGCCAAAACCGGGAAGCGGAAGCAGAGCAGCCGGGATCCCCAGCTCTGAGGCCCTGGCTTTTCGGCGCCGTCCTCATCGTCGTTCGAAGCTCAGACCTCCC